GGGGGGGGGGGGGGTTAATTTTAATTTCTATTATTAGATCTCGACAGAAAATTTATATTTTTTCTGAAAATAATAGTCATATTAATAAATAAGAATCTGTTGTTTTCTCAATAGAAATACCCTATTAGATAATTTTTACACGACCAAAAAAAAAAAACAGAAAACTACTTTCGGCCAATTTCTACCAAATCATATTCCGATCTTGCTTGCGACAGAAGTTACGGTCATACCTAAAACTCGACGGCCCACAATGAAATGACTCGTAAAGACAAGACTGTAAATTCTTCAAACTGCAGAGATTATACAACTAAAAATTGTGTTTTCGGCGACGAAATTTATATATTACTGAAAATTCTTCAATTATGCAATGGCCACGGCTGTGGCGTGGATCTGTAAAAAAAAAAAAAAAATCACCTCGAAGGTCTTCTTCTAATAAGATTTCGTAGACTCTTGGAGTGATTATTACATGATGATTGATGTTCCGAAGAATTCAGATTCACTGGACAGTGAAATCTGATCGTAAAAAAACATTTTTTTTTTGTGCAAAGTGAAAGAGGGAATTATTTCATGTAGAAAGGGTTTTATGTTTGTTATTTCGTTTTTATACCCCAAATTATATTTCTTCCCCAGGAATCGGAATTGCAATTTGCATTCAAAACTTCTTTTGGTTTTCCTTTTTTTTTTAAGATTGTTTTTTGGTTTGATTCTTTTCATACAAATATCTATATAGAGTAGATGAGATTCAATGAATAAATAAAAGAAAAGGGGAATAAATATCCACATACAAAACGTCGTTTTATGGGGTTTACAAAGTTATTTTACGACGTTATGGGTCTTTTCATGAATAAATAAAAGAAAAGGGGTTAAATGCTAAATTTTCATAGTGTATCTGCCTCTTGCCCTATTTCCCCAAATCCTGCAATTTTTTTCCGTCACCCCTTCCGGAGAATAGTTTATCTACCATACGAACGAAGAGCAATTGGAATAATACAAAGGTTGCTGAGTTCGAGGACAAGACGAGTTCACCTGATTTGACGGTCGTACTTTTCGTCGTTCTTTCACAGGTTCGATTCGCATCTACTCAGAGGATCTGAGGAAGTGAGAGGTGAAGGCAGCCGCGAGGGGAGGAAGCTAAACCACGAACAAGGCAGGAGAAAACGAAAACAGAGGGACCCGTAAAGGCTCAAATCTCCAAGGTATACACTTTAATTCTGAATTCTCAAGCTTGTCCAAACGGTGAATCCTGAATTGACCAAGTTGAGAATTTTTTTTGTTGTTCCTGGAGTATTTTACGGTGGAACCATTGTTTATGTTGTTGCGACATGATTCTTAGTTTCGGGTTTTTGTTTCTCTGTGTTTATCTTCTTAATCTGCGACCCATAATGAATGCACAAAGCAAGGCAGACAATCTGGGTATTTCAAAAGTTTGGATTTTTCTTTTTGGCCTACTTGCAAATCCAGGAAAAAACGTTTTTCGTTCTAAGCCTTTTCCTTGAGCTAAAAACTGAAGGAGCTGAATCTTGTTCTTTATTGACATGAAATCCGGCTAAGTTTCTCCTGAGGTTTCTTAGGAATTGTTACAGTTTCGTGCTCTGGAGTAAGTTGAAAGTAGTTTGCTTGCGAGTCATTGTCTTTTAGCTGATGAGACGTGGAATCATTGCAGGGAATATGTTTTCTTGATGTTATGGTGGAGTTCAAGAGTTGGGTCTCAGAAGAGATTTCTGATTGTCCGGATTTAGAGTATTATTATGAGTGTTAGATGGCCAAGAGTTCTAACACCAAACCTACTTTCCCAAATCATAAAGAAGCAGAAGAACCCACTAACAGCTCTTCGAATTTTCGAGGAAGCAAAGGAGAGGTTTCCGGGCTACAGTCACAATGGCTCAGTGTACGCCACCATGATTGGCATCCTCGGGAAATCTGGCCGTCTCTCGGAAATGAAACATGTCATTGAGAGAATGAAAGGAGATTCTTGCGAGTGTAAAGACACAGTGTTTGCATCAGCCATCCGTACTTTCTCGAGAGCTGGAAGGCTGGGGGATGCCATCTCTCTATTTAAGAGCCTCCCCGAGTTCAATTGCGTGGAATGGACTCTATCTCTTAACACCCTTTTACAGGAGATGGTTAAGGATTCGAGGCTTGAAATGGCCTGTCGCATTTTCCAAAAGCATTCTTATGGATGGGAGGTGAAGTCTAGAGAAACATCCCTGAATTTTCTTATGAGGGTTCTTTGTCAGATCAACCGCTCTGACCTGGCAGCACATGTGTTTCAAGAGATGAATTACCAGGGTTGCTATCCAGACAGAGAGAGTTACAAGATTCTGATGGAAGGGTTTTGTCTAGAAGGAAAACTGAACGAAGCAACGCATCTGCTGTATTCTATGTTCTGGAGGATCTCGCAGAAAGGGGCTGGTGAGGACATTGTGGTCTACAGAATTCTTTTAGATGCACTATGTGATGCGGGGAAGATTGATGAAGCCATTGAGATTCTTGGTAAAATCTTGAGAAAAGGGCTAAAATCTCCTAAACGATGCTACAATCACATCGATTTTGGTCAGTGGGATGGTAAAACCGGAAGTGTTGAGCACATAAAACGCTTGATAACCGAGACTTTGATCCGAGGCACTATTCCCAGTCTGGCTAGCTATGATGCCATGGCTGCCGATCTCTACAGCGCAGGTAGACTTGCTGAAGGTGATGAAGTGCTTAAAGCAATGCGAGGCAAAAGCTTCAAGCCGACACCCTCCATTTACGAGGCTAAGGTCACCGCACTGTGTAGGGCCGGAAGGCTGGAAGACGCAATGGCTGTGATCGCTGGTGAGATGAGGGAAAGTCACTGCCTTCCAACAGTTGGAGTCTATAACATTCTCATAAAAGGCCTGTGCGATGAAGGGAAATCCATGTTGGCAGTTGGGTATCTCGAAAAGATGTCTAAGCAAGTCGGGTCTGTGCCTAACGAAGAAACATACGCAACTCTGGTTAGCGGGTTGTGTCGTGATGGTGAATTCCTAGAAGCAAGTCGGGTGATGGAGGAAATGCTGATAAAATCATTCCTCCCGGGTGTTGAAACTTACAATGTGCTTATAAAGGGACTGTGTGGCATGTGTAGGGGATATGAAGCAGTGGTGTGGTTGGAGGAAATGGTTAGCCAAGGCATGATGCCCGAGTCTTCTGTCTGGAACGCCTTCCTGTCTGAATCTGTCTGTTACAATGCCATTGACACTGGTGAGATTCTCGAACATCTAACAGAACAAGTATGAAATTTCTCTGAAGCATCAAAAAGATCGTCTTGGAACTGTCTTCAATGATTTCACTGCGAAAAGGTATGCCCTTTCATCACAACAAAGACAGTCTTCAGTGTAATATTCTTGCGAGTGACTTTTTTTTTTTTTCATGTCATGACATTTTCCCTTGTCATTGAAGGAACACAATTATATCACAAAAAGGAAAATTTTCAAAAAAAAAAAAAAAGGAAAAATTCTAAAAAAAATATATTGTTTTTCAATTTTGACAAAATTAATTTTTTTTAGAAAAAAAAATACTGAACTTTTTAAATGATTCAAAATAATACATGATCTTTTTTACGAGTGTCCGATTAAACAACCGAAGTGGTGTAACGAAAGTGCTAACGTGGCGGATTAAACATTCTCAAAAACGTAAGACAGTGGTTGGAAATCCAACAAAGTTGCTAGCTCTAGTTCTAGTTCTAGTCATTGTCTCCGTAAAATGCTCTTCACGAAGCTGCGGCAAATAGGGCAAGAAAAGCTATTCCCGATCCACAAATCGATGCAATCTCTGTGGAAAACATGTTTGCAGTGAAACGGAGTATCAACCCTATCTTCATCTTCGAATTCATCCAGACAGATGGTGCAGCTCGTCGTTCCTTCTGAATCGCCTACGTCTTTGAACTTGCGGCTCAGTCGCGGGCCCACCACAACTGCAGCCGCCGGGACTCCCGAAGTTTCAGGAGCACCAGCTGACCGAGCCCTCCTCTGGTGGAAAGGTCGAGTAATAATCCACCAGCAAACGACGAAGACGATGATCACTATCACGAAGTATATGGGAACTGCGTAGTACCACTTGGAAAGTACTGACGTAACCGACTCCATGGCTTGTGCAAACCACTCTGGTGGATTCTCCTCCATGGTAGATGAGATCATGAGAGATTAGATTTGTAAACTTTGCTTCTTTTTTTTTTTTTTGTTAATTATTGAAGCCGAGTGTGTGTATATATAGATTTCCTTTTTTCTAGTTACAGTAGGAGTAGGATACGTATTCCTTGTATAATTACTATTTTTTTTAGAAAAAAAACAGATGGATTGGACCCAAATTGGGAACTTTCCAAATCTGTTATGTGTTGTTTATTTTTTTAAAATTGGGTTTCCTTGCCGTCTAAGTAATCAATTCTGGGTAATGCGGATTAGGGTTTCGTGATTTTTTTTTTCTTTCAAATTCCCGTTCTCTGTTTCTTTTCCTCTCCTCTGTTTTCTGTTTATACCCGGCTTTGTTTTTTCGTCGTTGTCACAAAGAATGACTGCCCCCATCTGAAAACCCTAATCTAGTTACAGAAAAGTCTCAGAAGACAAAAGCTTCCCAAATCTAAAGACATCAGCTTTCGTGTCTCCCTGACCAATCCATGAAAAATTTTCCCCAGAAACAGATACCCATTGAGAGAAACATAAAAATCAAGCTTCGATTTCGACAGAAAAAACTTATTTCAAGAACAATCAGCAGGA